ATATAATAACATTAATAACTTTTTTAAATTAATAAAAATATTTTTGAATTATTTGAGAAATAAAAATAATATTATTAAATTAAAAAATTAGTGAAAAAATAATGACGTATAATATTATCTATCAGAATATATCAAAAAAACAAAAGCATGCACAATAGTCTAACTTCAAGTGTGGACAGACTGGACAGAATGGACTGAATACGACGATTATTATAGTTAATTTTAAAAATAATTTTGATTACGAAAATTTTAATTATTCTAAAAATTGAAAAAATAATTATTTACTTAGCACTTAGCTTTTTAAACAAAGAATTCCGTATCTTTCGAAACTAACATAACTGTTAGTTATTTTCAAAAATAAAGTTTTCCACAAGAATTCAATTATTTAAACTAATAAGATTTTCATAATATTTATTATATATCGAAAAAATCAATCATTTAAAACAATGTTCATAAAATTCTTATGAAGAATTCAATTACTTTTAAAAATAACAAAATTTTGCACAAAAATCCAATTCTTTTTAAACATTTTAATAAACTTTTCCGCAATAATTCAATTATTTCCAAAAATAATAAAATTTCTCAAAGGAATTAAATTATTTTTGAAAATTTTAATAAAATTCTTAACAACTACTCAATTATTATTATAAATAATTCATCAAAAGTATTCAATTATATCGATAAATAAGAAGATTATTCCCAAAAGTTAATTTATTTTGAGGTATTTTAATAAAATTCTTTGCAAAATTCAATTATTTTGATAAATAACAATATTCATCACAATAATTCAATTATTTTTAAAAGAGCAATTCCATGTGAAGTGATCGACGATTTTTGGACATTGTTAGCAATTTTCTTGAAACTTTTTTTCCTTGTAGCTATAAGGATAAGATATGATAAAGTGAAGGCGATTTTGAAAATTTCGAAAAAATTTTGAATAACTAGTACTTTTTAAATAAATTTTTTAGAAACAAAAATTTTTAGAAATTATTAAAAATTTTTCAAAAAAAAATTTTTTTTTAAATTTTTTGAAAAACACCCCCCCTCCGATTTTTTTTATTTTTTTTATAATGATAGCCAAAAGTAATAAGAAAATTTTCGTAAAAGTTTTATAATGGGATCGCGATAACTTTTCGAGAAATCAACGAAAAAGTCTATGGCGCCCCGTTGAGACTGACGCACTCACGTACGTATGTCCAAGAAGTTGGCAACGCCATTTCATTTTTTCTCATCAAAATTTTGATAAAACTAAAAAACGAAAATTGTGGAAAAAAATTAAAATATTTTTTAAAAATTAAAAAAAATTTCTTATTATACTTCAATTTTTTTGAACATTTTTCAAAAATCAAAATTTTGAAAAAATAAAATTTGTGCTGAATTGTTCTCAGCGAGGACAATAAAAAAGTCTAAGAACAATTGTACAAGTTAATAATTATTTAAAAAAATCACACTTTTTGAACCTTTTTGAAAAATCAAAAGTTTGGAAAAATAAAATTTGTCCCGAATTGTGCTCGTGAGCACAATAATACAGTCTCAAAACAATGTTTCAAAAAGTTGAAGAATTGTTTGAGAATAATCATAGAGGAAATTGGGGAATTGTGGGTCACCTCCATTATTTAACAATTTTTAAAAATTTTTGATCATCCAATTTTTTTATTTTCTTTTGTTTGTCAAAAGTAAATTTTTCATTAGCATTTTATAACTTTACAGTATTTCCCAATTACCTATAAGTCATAAACAACAACCAACTGAAAATTGCAATAAAATATTTATTTTGGGCGTTCAAGTTTTTACAAGAATTTAAAAGAATTGCCTAGTTAAAAAAATTTTTAATATATATTGTTTCTTTTTCTTTTACTTCGACTCCAAAAAAAATTTGCATGAAATTTAAATAAAAAAATAATACAAAGCTTTTTGTAAAATGAAGCATTCAGGGAATTGTGGGCTACTATTTTTTTAGAAGTATGCAGGTACATAATATTAAAATCACATATATAGCTAAAATAGTAATTTAATTAAAACAATTCTATTCATTGCAATGAATGAGATAGAGCTGTTGTAAAACTGTTGTAAAATTGTTTTTTAGACTTTTTTATTGTGCTCGCCGAGCACAATTCAGCACAAAATTTATTTTTTCAAAATTATGATTTTTGAAAAATATTCAAAAAATTTTAGACTCAAAAAATATGATTTTCTTGAATAATTATTAACTTTTTCAAAAACTCTTATACACTTTTTTTATTGTCCTCGCTGAGAACAATTCAGCACAAAATTTATTTTTTCAAAATTTTGATTTTTGGAAAAATATTCAAAAAAATTGAAGTATAATAAGAAATTTTTTTTAATTTTTAAAAAATATTTTAATTTTTTTTCAGCACAATATTTGTTATCGTTTTCTAAGTGTAGCACAATTTTCGTTTTTTAGTTTTATCAAAATTTTGATGAGAAAAAATGAAATGGCGTTGCCAACTTCTTGGACATACGTACGTGAGCGCGTCAGTCTCAACGGGGCGCCATAGACTTTTTCGTTGATTTCTCGAAAAGTTATCGCGATCCCATTATAAAACTTTTACGAAAATTTTCTTATTACTTTTGGCTATCATTATAAAAAAAATCGGAGGGGGGGTGTTTTTCAAAAAATTTAAAAAAAAATTTTTAATAATTTCTAAAAATTTTTGTTTCTAAAAAATTTATTTAAAAAGTACTAGTTATACTACTGAGAAATTGAAAAAAAAAATTTTGAAAAAATATTGAAAACAACTGGAGTTATCTTAATTTTAAAAAATTAGTACATAAATTTTTAAATTTGAATATTTTCAAAATTTTTTCGAAATTTTCAAAATCGCCTTCACTTTATCATATCTTATCCTTATAGCTACAAGGAAAAAAAGTTTCAAGAAAATTGCTAACAATGTCCAAAAATCGTCGATCACTTCACATGGAATTGCTCAAAAGTAATAAATTTCTTCTTGGAAATTCCATTATTTTAAAATTTATTGTAAATTTATTGTAAAAAATTTTAATAAAATTCTTTGTAAAGTTTAATTATTTTTACAAACTTTTCACAATTCAATGATTTTCAATATATACTATTTTCATAAAATTTCCAAACAGAATTCAGTTATTTTAAAAATTTTTTCATGAATAATAAAAATTTCTCAGGAATTCAATTATTTAAATTAGAATTTGCATAAAATTAGTCGAAAGAAATCAATTATTTAAAAAATTTTATAAAATTCTTCTCAAGAATGACATTATTTTTATAAATATTAGTTAAATTCTTTCATGAGTATTAAAATTCATTGCAGGAATTCAATTTATTAGCAGGATAAGAAAAACTTAAATATTTTGGATAAAAATTAGGAAAAAGTCAGGAAAATAAAAAATATGTAATGGAATTTTTGTCATAGACTTAATATTGACATTATTTAAATATTGAGAATAGATTTTTGATATAATTTATTTTTAATTGAAAAAATTAACAATAGATTTTCATTGATTTGTGGATTATTCTATGAATCACGTATTTGGTGACTTTAAAATTAAGACATTTTAAAAGTTTATAAAATAAACATTAGATAATAATTCTATGCAATAAAACTTTTATTAAATTACTATTAAGTAAAATAATATTTCGAGGATATAAATATACAAATATTAATTAAATTTCATAAAAATAATGAAATATAAATATTGTATTTTTAATAATTAGATATATTACTTACAATTTTGCAAGTTAAAAATTATACAAATTTATAAATAGATTTTTATACAAATTATAAAAATAATTATTTAAAATTAATAACTAATAATTTTATACATAGGATATCTAGAAGTAAAAATAAAAATGAATTAAAATAAATTTGATCAAATATCTTTTAACAATATATTAAAATAATGGTAATATTAAATTATGGACACCTACCTTTAGACTAAATGATAACATTATTTAGTTAATTAAAAATTTAATTCAATACAATAAATTGTATATAGAACTAAATATGGAGAACAGGAATGCGTCTTGTAAATTCTACATAGGCACCTAACCGTTAAAAAGTTTGACATTAAATAAAAATAAAAAATGACAATAATCCACAAAAATTAATTTTCAAAACAAACAAATGAATGCAGAAAATTTGCTAACGGAAAGGAAACTTACGATTATTATAATGTATTTTTCACTTGATAAAAAGAAAATGCATTGTAAATATCAATTAATAAAAAATGTGGAGGGAGTTCAAAGGAAAAATTTACTATTTCTGTTTTCAAGTGTACGAAATACTTGGATATTTTACCATCCATAGATTTTTAATATTAGAGAAAATATTGCAATTGTTTTTTTGTAAAATTTTACAATGTTACGAATTGCAAATGAATGATTATGTGTGCGGTAAAAATTAAGCAACGTAAATTTCAATTCTTATATTATATGCTTAAAAATAATTGAAAAGCACTCGATATTAGATTTTTTGCATTTTTTGTAACTAAAATAAGATTTCTCATTAGTGTTTCTCTTAAAGTAATTCACCTGTGGTTGGTTTTTCAGAATTAAATTAACTTAATTTTTAAAATTGTATCAGTTTTATTGCTGTTTTTAATTAATCATAAAGATATTTAATTAAAAACAGCAAAAAAATTATTAGTCCTTTTTACTATTATTCTACTAAATGATTTGATTAATTTATAATAATATTCTTGTCATTTTTACAAGTATAGTTACGAATAAGAAATTAAGAAAAATTTTTCAAGTTATGTTTATGCTATTAGTAAATTATTATAATTAGTACGTAAATAAACATAATTTAACTTTACAAAGAAGATGATAATTTAAAACTTGAAAATCTTGGATATTTATTACCCGCTGCGGTGAATTATCTTTAAAAGAATAGTAATGTTTGAAAAAGACGTGCGTTATTTTTTTCTTTAATAGAAATAAGATACTAGATCTTTCTTTTTTAATTTTGGGGTATAAAAAGGCATACGAAATAAAAACACAATGGTACGTATGAATACTGTATTTGTACGACCTATAAGTCTGTCATGTAATAAATAAGAATATAAAAAAAAAATCTTCCACACATTTTCTATTTACATTTAGTTTTATAAACTAAGGAAGAGGCACATTTTTATTAAAATTTATTTTTCCACGACAAACTTAGCGAATTCTTCTATGAAACTGCAATTTAATTAGCGTTATGCTAATTTACTTAACTACTCATTAAATATGTATGTTGATTTTTATTCTTAATTTTTACCATTTATCCACGTATAATAGCACTTTACTTGTCTGTTTAATTAGATGAATTAAATTAAATTTTCATTTTTGATGAATTCGTAAAGTTCTTGTGAAAATATTTTTTCTTTCTTTTTATATAAAAAATATCGGATTAGAGACATATTAATATTATTATTAACGTTTTTGTAAAAAAAAACGACGATAGTCTTGGGGGATTAAAAAAAAATTAGTATAGCATTATGGCTGCTGCAGTCTTTTCTTCTAGAGGAGGAATCGGTTCCAGGCGATCGCTCTTGTTTTTTCCAGATCCCCAACCGATCAAAGCAATGCTAATGAGATGCACAACACCGGCAGATACGACAAACCTGAAAAGATAATTTATTATTTTAATTTATATTCACTTTCTATTATTTTTCAGAAGGCAAGGAGGCAATTTAAAAATAAATTTTCAATATAAAATTGAAAACTTTAATTTCTTTCTTAAAAATCAGAAATGGAAATAATTTATTCATTTTTAAAATTGAAAGTAAACTTTTAATTGTTAATTTTAATTTTTCAATATTTTCAGACTTTATATCAGGGGTTTTCACGAAAAATTCGTGTCAAGACACGACACGGATACGAATTTTCGTGTTTTTTCATGTTCGTGTCGGTCCCTGCTTTATATATTAATTTTTGTCACTAAGTTTTAAGTTTAAGTTATTTAAAATTTTAATTTTTTAAAATTAATATAAGGCCGAAGTCCGCAACATTTTTACAAATTAATTCAAGATATTTTTGAGCAATTAAGTAATGTTAAGTAACATTTAATTTCCCAAAAATTAACACACATGAAAATTAAAGATAAATTTGACTTAAAAAACATTCATTTTTGATTTTCCGTTTTTAAAAATTTCAGCTTCATAAATTAATAACCATAATTCAAATTATTAATATTTTGTTTTGTTAATTCGTTAAATAAAAAAGAAAGGAAACTTTTGTTTTCGTTTTTTATTTATATTTGAAAAATTAAATATGAAAATAAGTTTCCATATTTTATTTAATTTTTATGAATTTAAATTCTTTTTATTTAGTTTAATTTTTAATTAACCTCTTCAGTTCTTTTTTGTTTTCAGGTTCTTTTTAAGGCTTTTTATATGGAAATAATTAAAATATTTGTGTTTTTCAGAATTTAAATATTTTCATAATTTTAAAAATTGTAAGCGAATGTTCGAGTTTTATTTGATCATTTTAATTCTTTTGATTACAGTAATGGATTGTTTTAATAATTTTAATTGTTTCCATACAATTTTAATTTACAGTTCGTTTAATTATTTTATTTTTCCTAAATTAAAAGTTTTTTCAATATTTTCAGTTTACTTTGTGTGTAACAACAGTTCATTAAAAAAAAAAAAAAACAAATTGAAAACTTTTGTTTTGAATTTTCGGAAAAATTATAAATGAATTTTTTCATATCTTTTTTTATGGTTCTATTGTTATTTTTTAATTAACAGTTTTTTATTTTTTCCGTTTTTGTTAATTTTCTCTTACCAGAATGAATAACCGAATTCAGCAGATCCTTCACTGGTCCATTTTTCGTTTATATTTTCCTTCGGCAATACGTTTCCATACAATTTTGTGTAATATTGTGCCAACCATGTGCCATTACTGGCGGCGCATAATAATACTGAAAATAGAAGAAGACAAAAGTAGAATAAAATCAGTAATTTTAATAAATAAGAAAGTGTATATAAAATATTAATATTTGTTTTTCATAAAACAATTTATTGCTCTAGTTTGAATTTTTCGTTTCGAATTTATTTTACTGTTTAATTAATTTATATTTGTCAATATCTTTTAATATTTACTCTTTAAGGACATTTTTCCAATAATTGAAATCACGGACAAAAGAAAATATTATGAAATACTATATGTGACCTGGACAGTGAAAAGGGACCTTACGTGCGAAAACAAGTTTTCGAGAAAACAGCAGTTAAAGTTTAACTTAGAAAAACCCTTGTAACTTTTTTAAATATTAATATTTTTTAATCAATTTAGGCTTATTTTCTTCACCGTGAATCACAGTATCTAAATAAATAACATACAAGTAATGAAATTTTTTTTTTTAATAATTGTTTATATAAATTAATAACAAACTCCCCAAACATAGAAAAAATAATCTAAGTTTTCTAACTAGCAACAATAAGTATAAATAAGTGACACATGTTTGTAAGGGTTACCGAGGCCGCTGATTACGAATATGATGTTAAATTGACAATTTGACAGTTGACAGCTGTCAACTTCTCTAAAAAGTGATCGTTTTTTATAAAAAAAGGTTTTTGAGGTCGCTAATTACGAATAAGATATAAAATTTGAATTTTAACTGTTGACAGTTGTCAAAGAAACTGTCAACTTTTCTAAATAATAAAAAATTATCGTCTTCGTTATTTTAATTTGTATAATAACAAAAAATCAGTTTTTTCGTATTTTTACTCTTGTTTCTTTTAACTTAAAATTTTTTTTTAAACTTCTAATCAACTTATGATTTTTTGGTTTTCACCATCTTAAAGAGCGTTTCAAACCCTATCCGAATCAACAAAAAAGTAAAAAATGATTTTTTGACACGTAAGGTCCCTTTTCATAGACCAGGTCACATATTATTATATTAAGAACTTTTATCTAATTAAAAGTGCTCTTATAAATTAAGCTTTATGGAATATTATCTGTCAATAGATTGATTATCTATTTCTCTTTTTTCTTTATAAAGAAGTCTGTGAATCATTAGTATTTTTAATTAACGTCGAGAGTTGATTAGTACATTTAAATGATTGGCATAATAAAAAAAGAAATTCAATGAGTAAAATCTGTTTTTAGATAGACGAATGTGATAAATTATCTCTTACTTCCTTATTTCGCTGTATATAATGCTGTGCTATCCTCACGTAATGATCGTCTTAAATCTTAAATATTCAATTTCACGCACTTGATTCCAACTTAATGTTATAAAATGCACTTATTTTACGAGCTACTAATTATAACAGTATATTTTTTCTAATGAAACTCGAATTCCTTTAAATTAATTTTCTTTTCCTTTGAATGTTAAAAAAAAATTTGCAATATAGAATGTTTATTTCTAATTCATTTCATTTAGTGTTCTTTCTCTCTTCTTTTATTAATTTTCTATTTTTACAGGAATCGTAAAAATAATATTTATTATTTTTTTGCAGAATTTAAGTTACTTACGTGCCAAAATGTTGATAAAATAAATGCCGGGTACGGAAAATATTTTACTTCTCGGTGTTGTGGCCGTGTTTAAGACAGCCAAAAGTGCGGCAAGTGCTGCAGCTAACAAGGCTGCACATGTTGTCACCAAAGTTCCAAACCACAAGCCCCATGACATTACCAATGGATCTTGTTCAATTAGTTTGGAAACTAAAAAAGAATTCAACAAGAATTTAACATTTTTATTCTACAAATAAATTCATTTTTTCAGTGGCCAACCAGAATCGTATTCTAATTTTCTAATTTATTTCAGGGTTGCCACAGGTCAGGGAAATCAGGGAAAAATTCAGGGATTTTTATTAAAAATACTGGAAAAAATTAAATGTTTAGAATTTATAAAAAAATTATGAATTTTTCTGTCTTTTTGTTTGCCTCATAAACTATGAAATTACCACAAATTCTAAAAAAACCTTCAATTTTTTCTATTTCTGATAATAATTTATTTTAAATAACTTAATAAATTCTATTGAAGAACTTCCATGAAGTTATTACTTATAAATCATCTAATTAAGTATTTTTTCGAAAAATTTTAATTTCAATTCTTTTCAAATTAGTTTCAATTTAAAAACATTCAACGCCATTTGAAAGAAATCAATCTTAATAAATATTAAAATTCTTCGCAGAAATTCAATTATTTTCAAAAAATCTAAAAAAAATTGTCAACATTTCAATTATCTTTATAAATGAATAGCAAAATTCAATTATTTTCAGGAATTTTAGTAAAATTCATAGCAAAATTTCAATTATTTTCAAAAATTTTTCTTAATTCAATGATTTTTAATATTCTATTTTTATAAAATTTCCCAAAAGAATTAAATTATTAAACAAAAATTTTGATAATACTCTACACGAACATTCAATTATTTTCCAAAAAAAATTAAAATTTCACAGGAATTCAATTATTTAAAATAGAATTTGCATAAATTTTTTCGATAAAATCAAATGTTTTAAAATTTGACATTAAATTCTTCGCAGTAATTCAATTATTTTCATAAATTTTAAAATTCTTTTCAGGGATTTAATTATTTTCATAAATAATAATAAAATCATTCGGAGGAAGTCAATTATTTTCGTAAATAACAATATTCATCACAAGAATTTAATTATTTTCCATAAATTTTTTTTAAAAAAATCAATTTTTTGAAAATTTTTTATAAAATTCTTCGCAATACCTAATTCAATTATGTATTTTCATAGATAATAAAACTCATTGCAGAATTTTAATTATTTTTTATACAATTTCAATTGAATTCCACGAAAAATGTAATTATTCTTTAAAATTCGTCAAAAGAATTCAATTATTTAAAAATTTGTTGATAAAATTATGTACAAGAATTCAATTTTAAGAAACATTAAAATTATTCAATAAATTATCTGTTTTTATTTAAATAATTAAATTCTCGTAGAATTTTCTATTAAAAATTGATTTAAAAATTAATTTCAGTTAAAATTTTAGATAATAATTGAATTTTGGAGAAGTTACTAAAAATTGCAATTTTTAGAAATAATACTGAATTTTGTAATGGTTACAAATTAAAATCTTCGAAAATTTGAATTTTTCATACTTTTAATTAAAAATTCCTGGAAATAATTTTTTTCAAAAAGCTAAATCGAAATTTTTTAAAATTATTTCAAGTTTTGCTTCCTCTTAAAGGAAGCCTTATAGTGATGTCGATTTCCGAATTTTTTAGAATCAATTATTTTTACAAATTTTCAAGTGTAGTATATATAATTCGTCGAGAGGAACAAGTGTCCGGATGTATGTGTGTGTGTGTGTATGTCACCGATTCTTGTGGACAAATTTTCTCTTACACGTCTTGACGGATTTTGATAAAATTTTGTAGGTGTATTACGGTCACGAATACCAAAAATCAGACAGAAGGATTTTAAAAAATATCTAAAAAAAATTTTTTTTTTAACAATTTTTTAATTTTTGAAAAAATTAATTTTTGGATTTTTTGAAATAACTTTTTTCTATATTAAAATTTTTATTAATTCTTGGCAAAATTGCATACCTGACATAAAAACGAATCGATTCATGTATATAAAGTATATATTTTATCCAAATTTGTAGAATTAATAAATATTTTAATTTTTCACAAAAAATTGAAATTTTGTATTTTTTGAAATTTTATCTTAACACTTTAAAATAATTATTCTAAAATAAAAAATTAAACGATTGGTATATATTATATTGAGGAAGCTTAATGATCATGAAATGAACAACTTGTTTATTTTCTAATGTATATTTAATTGTAGAATTTACGAATAATCGAAATTTCGTAAAATTGAATTGTAAACAAATTAATTTGAACCTTCTCAAAAGAACTTTATAAAAAATTACTAAATATTATAATGAATTTAAAGAAGAATAATTTTAGTTAAAATTTTTTGGAAATAATAATTGAATTGAAATGATGGAAATAATTTTGAAAAAGTTACAGTAACAATATTCTTATATTATAATATAAAATACTGATTTTTTCCACTTGGTCACCTTTAATTATTATATAATTAAATATCTTCATATTTTATAATATTAAGTATTCTTATAAATATTAGAATTAGAAATTTTGAAAATCTTAGTTCCCATGGAAAAATAATAATGATTAAATATTTATTTAAAAATGAATTTATTGTTGTTTTAGAATAATTTTACAATTATGGAAATTCGTATATATAAATGTAATAGAACATTTTTTTGAGTATCTAATCATGTTTCCAGTGAATCAGAATATTCTTTAGGGTCAGGGAAAAAGTCAAAATTTTGTCTGGAAATCAGCGAAAAGTCAGAAAAAAACAAAATTAAATGTTTGTGTCAACTCTGTATTTTCTTTAATAAATTACAAGTTGACTAATTTACACTGTTCCATCAGAATTCATCAAATTTAACATAGGTAATGAAATTTTAACTCTTTTGACAAAAAATACTATAATAGAAAATTAACATTTTTGTGTAGTTTCGTTTTTTTTGTCCTTATTATTCTTGTGTATTTTTTCTTGTGTATTTATAATTTATCATTTAATTTTTTCAGTAGAAAAGCTAAAATCTTTTTTTTTTAGTTTGTCAAAAAAAAAATGCTGAAATATTTTTTTTATTGTTGATCGTCTCTTTTTCGTATTTAATCATTAAGGGAGTATTTTTTGAAAAATGATGACACTAATTTGAGAGAAGTTTACTAAAATATCAATATTATATTTACAGAGAAGTCACGGTGAAGGAATTATGTACTTGCTGTTTGAATTATGCATACAGCAATACCTCAGGTAGATACAACTCGTGACAGATGACAACAATATCCTCGGCCTTACGTCGAGAACGTGATTCGTACTTATTATGGGAATTCCGCCCCCTCGTCTCACCGAAACAGTGTCACACGTATGACCTACCCCAATGAAAGAGATACGCGAGGAAACGACAACAATCCACAAGGTAAATCTATTTTATGATTTAAGGATCTGTAAAAATCCCTTCAAAAATTGTACAAAATCTCAAAATCTCTCTCAGTGTGTTTTATAAGAAAACTTATGATGATAATAATTATTCTATTTTCAATTTACTGATATTTAGTTTATTACTGATTATATTATTACAGATGTAAATAATATGAATTTAAATGAAATATATCAATTAGATTCTGTTAATTTTATTTTTATTTGTAGGTAAAATATCTCTGGTTTGTTATGTCATGGAGGACTATTTTATAACACGTGCGAGTTGTATTTAAACTGGTTTGGAGACGCATGCTTGAACATAGTAAAAACTCTTCAACAAGTCTACGCAGCCAAACTTGTTCCTAACGAGGAGACTAACGAATCCTGGAATGCAGTATCACGCAGTACGTATATCATAGTTTCGTAAAGCTCCAATTTAAAAAAATTTTACTCGCAATTCTCTTTTCTACTCGCGGAGGATCTTTTTTTATTTTTCCCCTTTTATCTGATGAACACTTATCTTCTTTTAACTATCTACTTTTATACTCTTTCACATCTAGTTAATATTACCGGAAAAATAATTTCCCCCTTTTATTTCATCAAACAAAGAATATGTCCATTTTTAAATTATAATAAGAAGAAAATAATAAAAATAATAAATATTTTTATTATTAATTCACTTTATAAACTTTAAAATCGTCTCGAATTTTAATAATGAAACATTAAATTTATTCTGCTTATGAAAATAATTTTATATAACTAAATTCTTGATCAACTTTAAATAATTTATTATTTATAAATTATTTAAAGATTAATTTTACTTCAAAATTCAAAAAATAATTGAATTTTAAAGAATGTGAAATTGAATTTTCTTGTAAAAAAATAATTCTAATTAAATATTTATTTTTAAAAAATTGATGATTTTTTGAATAATTTTACAATTTTCAAGAAATTTAAAAATAAATGTATTAGAAACATTTTCTTGCATATCTAATGATTTTTAAAGTGAATTAGAATATTCATTATAGAGTCTGGGAAGAAGTCTAAATTCTGTGATCTGTCTAAAAATCAGGGGAAACAAAATTAAATTCTTGTGGCAACACTGAGGGAAAAGTCAGAGAATTTTAATCGAAAGAAACCACAAAGTGTGGATGTTTGTTTTTTATAATAAAAGTTTTAAACAAAATTTTAATTATTTTATAGTTTCCTTTATGAATTAAATTGTTACTTGAAAAACAATATAAAATTTTTAATCTGCAATGCTGCATTTTAAGTAATTTAAAAATTTTTTAATCACGATAAAAAAAATTAGTTAAGAAAAAATCAGGGAATTTTGAAAAAGAGAATTTGTATCCACCCTGAAACAATAAATATACATAGAATATTTTAAGTTCTTAGCAGAATTTCAAAAAATGTTTCAAATATCAATGAGTGGAAAGTTTTGTAAGGCCGAATTTTCTATCAGAATTTGCTTATAATCAAAAATTTATCTAGTAGAAATTGTTTGTAACTTAATTTTTAATCCAAGTAATTTCTACGTAGGTAGTACTTTTAATTAAACAACTTTTCTTAAGGGAATTTTTGTTTAAAACAATTTGAATTTGACTATAAATTTTCTGATCTTCGAAATTCTATACATATTTTTAATAAAATTTTTGCCTTCATTTTTTTTCAATTTCATTTTATTAACTTATTTATTTTATTGATTGACTAAATTGGATCTGCTTTTCGAATTTTGTAAATCTGTATTTTTTTTATTTTTGTAAATCACTAAAGAATTTGTGTTTAGTGAGCCCAGAAACCTTCGAGTAAAAAATTTCAATGGAATTTGAATATTTTCCTCAGCGACGAAATACACAATGTTTATGATCAACAACTGAAAGAAAAAAAACGTTTATGCGGAAAACACTGTATGTATATGTTTTATTTACAGTTTTTGTTCTTTTTAAAATTGTTGATCAAGAAACTACTTTTTTCAGACAAAAACAGAATAGAATAGTTCTAAAAACAAAAAATTGAATAGAAAAATTATTACTTTCTCATCACATGAGAAGGTATTAGTTTTTTTCTGTAACGTTGATCATAAACTTTAAAATAAATTTATTCTTTTAAATAGATTTAAAATTGTTTCAGTTTAAAAAAGCCATTACATTATAAGTATTTTGTAAATTAAAAATAGTCATTCAAATTTGTTTTTGCAAAAAAAATCCCATTTGCAGGGTTGTCACAGCTCAGAGGAATCAGGGAAATGGTTTGAAATATTATCAAAAATATGGGAAATATAACAAAAATTTAGAATTATTACAAAAATTCTGGTTTTTGGTGACAAAAATATTTTTGAAATAGTTAAAGAGCTCGAAATCTTCTTACATTTTTAGTTTACTTTACAAACATTTGAATCACAATGAATTTTACAACAATACTTTGATCTAAAGGATTTCATTGAAGTTTAAAAATAATCGAATTTTCAAAAATTTTTAATTTAATAGATTAGTAACCTAATTTACAAAAATTCATTCAATTTCAAAAATGTTTGAAAGATAACTTTTCAAAAAACTAACTTTTTCAGAATTTTCCATTAAAATTATTTAATATGGAAATTTTCTAAAATTTCAATTCAAATTTTTTTGAAATTAAATTATTTACAAAAATTGTAAACTCAACTCTTATAAAATTCAATTATTTTTAATAACGTTTTAGAAAAGTTCAACTATTTCAGAAAATTTCTAATTCTTGTTTATTAAAATTCATTTGTCTTTAAAAAGTAAAACTGAAATATTTTAAAAACCTAATTGATCAGAATTTTAAAAAGAAAATTTAATCTAAAATATTTTAAAAATTAATAATTTTAGATGGAACATAGAAGCTGTGACTTTTACACTAATGTAAATACATTTAATTGTGACTCTGTAAAATTTAAGTATTTACTAATTATTAAATTGAAATTCTTTGAAAATTCAAGTTTTTTAAAAGATCTCTAATGAAATTATTTAACAAAATTTATTTTCCACTCGATTTCACAAAATTTCAATTGTATGTCTTTAAAATTAAAATTTCTCAAATATTATCATTCTTTTTAGATATTTAAACAAAAGTATTTCAAACTTAAATAATTTTTTAAATAAGTATTTAATTATTATTACTTTTTTCACAGTAATTGATATTTTCAAAATTCTTAATTTAAGACCTTCTGAAATTGAATTACTTATTTAAAAATTGCAACTGTTTTTAACTGTAATGATTTCTAAGTTAATTATAATTAAGAACTTTTAAGAAATTTCTTAAAATAGTTATTTTAAAATTCAAGTATTTAAAGTTTATTTACAGAAATGAGAAGAAATCGAGGTATCGTCTTAAAATTCATTGTAATTATGAGAAGTTTTTGAGGCGAAAAATAACATAAAGAATTAAAGTTTTTCAAAAATATTTTTGTACATCAAAAACCAAGATTTTTGTATTAACTCTAGAGATTTGATATTTTTCTAGTATCTATATATATATATAAAATCAGACTTTTGTCTGTACATTGCTCAGAACTTTAAATTTCGCACATAATTATTTGTTTTAGGCATCAAGGATTCCAAATATACCAATAAAATATATTTTTGATAAAATTGCTTGATTTTCCTGTACAATTTCATTTTTCCTGATTTCTCTGACCTGTGAAAACCCTGTTTTTTATAATTGAACTTTTCTTGAATTTGTTTTCATAGGGATCAGGAAAAAGTCAAAATTCTATCTGGAAATAAGTAAAAAGTCAGGGGAAAAGAAAAATAAATTCTTATGGCAACTCTGATTATAATAGATATTTTGCTTGATGAGAACTTAAATATACATTCTATTGAATTTATAATTAATTGGTTATAATTTACTTTGCTATAAATATCTCTACTATAAAAACTCTGCATTAAAAAAATACGATACAGTAAAATTTTACAAGTTGAAAATTGATTACAATATTAAATTTTCATTCTATAAAATGTTGCTGAATATAAATTTGTCCTTATAAAATTCAATTTACTATTTTTCCAATAAGAATTAATTTTGAATTTACCAGAGAAATGATGTGTCCTCCATCCATAACCATAATTGAGCTCTTTAGTGCCATTCAATAATCCAAAATGAATTTTTCCAGCACTATTTTTGGGTCCGTCAGGTATCCATGGTTTGGCTTCAATCCAGTGTTGTGTTACCAGCGCACCACACAATAATCCCCCGCTAATTAAAGAGAGGAAGAACGTCGCAAATATGGTGCCCCTTCGAAACATGGACGTCATTCTAGGATCACTCGCAACTGATTCAGTTTTCGAAAAGTTCGTAGTAATTACTGGAAAAAAATGGGGTAAGTAAATAAAAAAAAATACATTGAGAAAATTAAATTTGAAATTTTTATATCTATTGATAAACTAGTTTGATAGATAAACATGAAAGTTGAAAAAAAATCTTTTTGCGTAAATAGTGAAAGGAAAATCGATATATATATATATATTCATTAGTTAATATAAAAGCAAACAATCTTCGTAATTTATAAGGAATGGTTGGAAAATATCCTCTCTCTCTCGTTATTTAGTTAATAAAGAAAATGTCGTATTCAACAAGTTTATAAATATTATAATTTCTCTTGTGGCAGAGAAATGGAATATTTACCTTGGCCCTGAGATTGTGCAAAGTGTGCCTGATTGAGACTCTTTGAGAATTCACCTTGCTTTACTTTCTGATCGAATTCCGCTGTATTTAACTTCTTGGAGAACTTGACGCGACAGTGAGTTTTTGCTTTTCTTGGCTTTTGTAAAGGGGATGGTCTTGGTCTTTTGGCAAAAGTATAGGGTATCGTATAGGGCTGGGCCACGTAAAAGTATATAGGTCGATAATCCTCCTGTAAATGTGGTATGTAACCATTCGTCTGGTAGCCGTTGTAAATGCTCGGTGGACCCTGGCTGCAAGCGTATGAGCTCGGATGATAATAGGTGCCGTAAAGGTTCGCCGTTTTTCGTGAATTCCCTTCCACGTTTTGAGAATAAAGTCTGCCAGTGACGTCCCCTTCTACCACGCTCTTTCCAATTCAAATCACTGAAGCATACTCGACTTCGTGATCGTCCCTAAAAATTTAAAAAGAAAAAAAAAAGGATAGAGATTTCAAAAATCATTTCCTTAAAAGCAATTTGATATATTGAAGACATTCGATCTCAATTTTTCTTCCGATTCATTGAGTTGAGATTATATCCCAGCGCCAGAAATTTCGATCTCAATTTCAGCTCTATATCTGGGATTTAATTTGACCCTTGGAATAAAATTCTTTAATCTTCCATTTCAATTTTTCTTTCCGTTGTTTTAATAAAACAAAATTAGTGAGGCTCGAAATTGAAAAAGAAAATATATTCCAAGTTTCTATCACTCTTTATAAATAGGTATTTCTAAAATTTTGTTTCTTTTTATTCAATTTCAACTCTTACTTATATTCAATAAAATTAAATTTATATAGGTAATATTTAGAAAATTAGTTTTAATTCTATAATTTAGAAAAAATTAAAAATTTTTGGAAATACTTGTGACTTCAAAAGTGATTTCAGAAGTAATTTATTCGAAATGAGACGTTTCTTAAAAGTAATTCGAATTTTCAGTTTTTAAAGCTTTTTAGTACTTTTCGAATTTCTACCGAATTTTTCTTGTAGAATTTCAATTTAGTCGAATTTTATAAATTAGAATATTTTTATTGAATGGAATTTACATATTAAAAAATTTTTAATTTTCATTTCTATTCAACAAAAGTTTCCATTTTCAAAAATTTTTATTTTCGTCGAATCATTATTAGTTGTGAAATTTTATTATGATTTCAAAAATAACTAATAATTTTGGCCAATAAAAACTGAAAATTCGTTTGGATATGTATAACAATAAATTAAATTATTAAAATCTAGAAATTTGCGGTCTTTTAAAATTCAATGTAATTAGGTTAAGCAATTATTTGTACAATTATGCATTAATTATAATTGCTTTTATAGGTAATATTGTTTAATTATGAACGAAAAGTTTACCTCATTATTCACGATTTGCAATTTTCTCGAAAATATTTGAAAAACCGCTGCCAAGTTGTATATTTTGTTTTATAATTTTGGTGTTCATTTCATGAACACTTTGCTTCCTCATAGAGATAATAATAATAAAAATATATGAATAACTTTTTATAAATATGGTAAAAGTGACTGAATCTTGGGTCAATTAATGTATTTTTAAATACCCTACAAGATAGTTATAATAGTTAAACAAAAATTTTCAAACAAAAAAGTTGAGAAAATGTCATTTTCCACAGTTTTTGGTTTTTAAAATACCAATAATTTCGAAATTTATTATCAAATTAGGTTCAAAAATAGGTCAATCGAAGCGTTTTTTAATGCTCTACAAGTTGGTAACGATAATTTTAAAGTTACTTCTACATTTTTCAACAAAATTTTCAAAAAAGTCTTATTTCCAAAATTTTTTATTTTTAAAAGTTTAATATCTTTGGTTAATATGGACGAAAAATGTTCAATTAGGGCTCAAAAGATGCGTCTAAAAAAACTTTTTGGACTCCTAAGGTCAAATAACATAAAGATATGTCAAAAAATCGAACTCGAAAAATGTTGGTATTATAATAAAAATAAAAATAAATAATAATAATAATAATATTATAATTATTTAATAAATAGTAGGTAATCAGAGGAAAAATCAGGAAAATTTATCAAAAGTATCAAATTTCTACAAATATTACGAAAATTCTAATTTTTTTTTTCTAATTTTTTCCAAAACATTCGAATGGAAAATATATTTTCTTCATTTAACCTTTTATTTTAGAAACTTTAGAAAAAAAATTGTAGAAACTTTAGAAAACTGGAATTTTAATTTAAAATTTCGTTTTAAAAATTAATTAGTCGAAATTTTAATGAATCTTATAATTTAAATTACTTTGATTTATTTCGTAATTAACGTTTTAATTGATAGAAATGTAAATTAATTTTTATTCTAATTATTCAGTATTTTAATTAATTCACAATTCAATTTATCAAAATTTGGATGGCATACTTAAAATGTAATTTATTCAAATTTTAATTCTATCCAAAATTCAATCTCTGTAAAAATTTCAATAAATTTGAATTGGTATTAAATTTTAATTTTAATTACTTGAGATATTGATTAAAATAAATTGTAATCTATTGAAATTGAAATTAATGCTAATTTTGATTAAGCTTTACTTCACTGATCTAAAAATAATAATATTTTGGAAGAGTTATAATTGAAGTTTTGACATTAGTTATATTTAAATAGATTTTAAATTAAAAAGTTCAAAAATAATTTACTTTAAACAATTTTATTAAAAATCCAAAAAAAAGTTTTCTGAAAATTTTAACTGAATCTTTGGAATATAGTTGATTTTGTAAAAAAGAATTATATTAATAAATTTGATTACAATTTTTAAATAGGTACATAATCGAGTTTTTATAGGATTTTAATCTAAAAGTAAAATAACTTGCTTTTTTCAGGGGCGAAATTAAAGAGTTATACTGATCAGGGAAAAAGTCAAAATTTCGCCTGTCAATCAAGGGAAACAATTAAAAAATTTTTATTTCTTTTTAATTTAATTGATTAAATTATTTAAATGAATAGAAGAAATGAATTCAACTCCTTGTCGTCAGTAATCGCCCCTTTGACAATAAAATGAGACAAGTTTGGAAATTGAAAAAAAGAAAAGTGAAACATAAGAATTTTGTTACATGAAAAGGGAGGGATGTTTCAACGAAATGTCGAGGGGGGGATTTAAAATTGAACATGTCTTGCTTGTTTCTGCGATTCGTCTCGAAACATTTGGTATGTTTCGCTTCACATGGCTAGTTTCTATTTCTCATGGGAGCGACAATCACGTTTTCCCAGACCCAGACCTCTCCGGCTGGAAGCAAGTATACTATACGCATATTATACAGTGATACAGCCTAACGGCATTCACTGGACCTCGTCACCTCGCTCTTGCTTACAGTCGGCTTGTATCAGCATTCCGGTTTATTTCTTTTTTTTATTCTCATTTTCTCATCCCGACTCTTTTCTTCCTTCTCTACTTGCGCTTACTATTACTTGACCCGACTGACTTGATTTTCAGTCGCGTGTATATACATACTTCTCTCATACACCTGTGTGTTTACAACTTGCACAAAATAGAACTAGGCTTACGTATTATCGCTGGCTATGAACAAGATGACACTGTTTTCAAATGCAAATTATCTTTGTGAAAGTACTTTTGCAATACATGCCGATTATTTACGAGATTCGTTATATTATTTTTACTAATAGTTTCTTATTACTCAAAGGTCAGAGTTCATTTCTCTGGAAAATTTTATAAAAAACTTTATTCCTATTTCTATTAATTCCTATAATTAATAATTCAATTAAATGAATTAAATGTTTAATTAAGAAATTATTTAATATTTGAATCATTTTATTTAAAATTCTGAAAAAATTAATTTTTTCATAGGTTTTTATTTTTATTTTTTAAAGATAATACAATTTTTTTTTTTAAATTATTGAAGAATTATCAAAAAATAATTAAATAGAAATTTTGTGTATACCTAATTGTATTAAAAGTAATTAAATTTGTTAAAGAATTACATTAGAGATGATGAATATTAGTTATTCAAATTTGTTTTAGCAAACGAATCCCATTAGCAGCGTTGCCACAGCTCAGAAAAATAAAGGAAATGTCAGAAATTTTATCACAAATAGTAAACATCTGGAATTACTATACAAAAATTCTGGTTTTTTGCCTCCTGATTTCGCACTAATCTACTAAAATCTACTATTTTACTACTTTTCTTACGATTTGATACTTTTTTTAGATTTGTGATACTAAAAACTAATATTGTCTTTTTTTTCTTTTTGAGAATTTGAACTACATTAAATAGGATGATAATTGAATAAAAAAATTGTTAAAAACAATTCAAAACATTTTAGAAAAATTCTTTAAAAGAATTAAATTATTTTCAATAATGTTAATGTAATTTTTCGCAAGGATTCAATGATTATTACAAATAATAGAATTCTTCGCAGGATTTGAATTATTATTTTTAATATTTTTCATTGTAATAAAAGTTTTCGGAATAATTCAATTATTTAAAAACATTTTTATTGAATTTCTCGAAGGTAAATCAATTATTTTTAATAATTTTTTGGTAAAAATTGTTTAGAAGAATTTCAATATTTTCAATACAATTGTAATTAAATTTCTCAAAGCAATCTAATCATTTAAAAAATTTTAATAAACAACTCTTCTAAAAAATTCAATTATTTTCACAAATAATACATTTTTCATAGAAATTC